CAACTTTAATAAATTATTAAATTCATAGCTGGTTTCTTTGGTTAGGTATGGTTGAAGTATATATTAGATCTTCACGTTATATAAAAAAGGATCATAAATTTTGCTGTCTGGTTAATGTTCCTCTTACTATTTAGGTCGCTCGCTCGCATTTTGTTGCAACATTGGTAAATTTTAAAGCATCAATTAATTTTACATTGAGCAGCAATTATTTCGTTTCCTTGGAAAATGTTTTGGCGATCGAAGTTTTTTTAGGACAGTATAGTAGATAGGGGCTATGTGAAAAAAAAGCGTCACAACCTAGGCCACCAGCTAACTAGGGAGCTGGGTGGGCAGCTAGGTTGGCGACCACCGACGGCGGTGGCTGTGGCTTTGTTTAAAGTATTGTTTAATAGTTTAACGGAATATGGTGATGGATGGGGCCATAAGTCATAGCCCATGACCCAAAACGCAGGCCCAGTGCGGATTGATAAACTTAAAAATACGTTTTATGTCGGTACTTTAATTCTCTAAAAAAAGTTATGTATTAGTAAGTCAACCGTGTACAATGATGTGTTTTAATGAACTTTATTTCCTCTAACTTAAGGTCAGTTTTGACAATGAAAACGAAGGATACCAAACTAAGCGTTAAAGTAAATTGTTATTATGGCAAACATTTCCTTCCTCACATGGTTCCCAATATGAGGAAAAATACATTTTATGTAGGTAATTGTATTCTCTAAAAATATTGATGTATTAGTAAGTCAATAGTGTACCAGCATGTGTTGCCATAAACTTTATTTACTCTGTCGTAAGGTCCGTTTTGTTAATGAAAACGAAGGATTTTCCTTGTTGACATCTTCCGTAATATAATAGGCGAAGATCCCAGGCTCCCTGGGCGTTACTTATTTTCTAATGGACAAAATATGGATAATCGAGTAGTATTAGTTTGTACAATAATAATAGGCTATTTGACTGCATAAAAAAGAATGTAATATGTATTTAATATAAATATTAACAGAAATTTTACTATTCAGAAACAACAAATGAAACAATAAATTTATGCTCCATATTCACGTGACCGAAAATGTCTGGGATTGGCCAAGACTAAAATGAGATCAGACGCTAGTATACATCCGGCCAAAGTGGCAGAACAATGTATTATTTGACGTTTTAATGACAGTCCTGTGCCGTCACACACTAGTGAGACGCCATAATGTCCAGAGAAACGTTTTTGCGGCAACTTGAAAATTCAATTTATTATTTCTTTGTTTTTTACTGAAGTACAGAATTAAAAATATCTACTTTTTATGGACTCTCTAATATTAGTAAATATTGTGAGATGCTTTTCTAATTTTTTCAAATACCCTATTAACGTATACGTACTCGCTTACTTGTGCTGTGTGTTCTAATAAAACTAACTTTTTGACATAGATATTATCCAGAGTTTGTGTTTTCGCATATCTGCAGTATAATAATTCTTTCATGAAATAAACTTCTTAGGGACTTAATGTTAGTTTTGTAGTAATTTAACTTTAGAGCAAGTAGTCAATATAGTTTATCTATATATGCCACACATAATCTTCTCGTTTCCATGTTATCTTCTTACTGTTGCCAACACCATAATGTGTTTGTTTTTCTCTTTATTATCCCATTAAACGTAGCAGGCTATGTTCTACGAAAGCCTTGCAATGTTTACTTTATGACGTATAGCTTCTCCAAGGCTTCAATGGTTACTTAAGTTTCTTATGTAACCCAACCACACAAAAGTGGATTACTGCTGTGCTTCAAACTTCTTGTTCTTAATCATCATGTACTAGCATCTATTGTTATAATTTTTTGTTGCGTGATGCAGTTTTTAATTATATGATGCAATAGGGATGATAACTAGCTTTTTTTCATCGCCTATCAGCTACATTTTCAAAAAGTATTACATTCGTATTTTTTCACACACTTAATCAAATTACAGAGATATGTATATGTATTCATTTGAAATGTCGCGTGACGTCACTTTTTCGTAATTTTGTTACAAAAGAAAATATTTTATGTCACGAGCTCAGAAACTTTGACGCGCTTCATCTTTCCAATTATTGGTTGATTGACAAAGAGAAAAAAGTAAGTGACCATTGTTTTTTGATAAATCCAAAAGACGAACTAAATAGGATTACGTTTACTTTAGCACGTCATCATCCCCATTGTGTAAATAATGAGGTGCTGCTTTTCCTGTTCACTATCATTAAAGTTTAGATATTGCTATCACGAGCTTTCAATCATGTTGTTTACTTTGAAACTGGTCGCTGTTACGAAACGTCAATAGCTGTCAATTAATATTAAGCCTCTTTAATATCACGATAAACATTTCGAAGTTTTAAGTGAAGGTTAAAAAAATACACTTTGACACTCAATTATATTATAACCCTTATCAATTCCAGCTCTTTTAAATTCAAGTTATATGTATTATTAAATACATAATTAAAACTTCTGTTTGCAATTCTATCCTAACGATGAGGTGCTCTTGGCTACCTTGATCAGAGGTAAGTTTGCTTTATTTGCAGAGATTTTATTAAATTAAGGTTAAAGAATGATTCAGTAGCAGTGTTGGACTAAAGGATTCATTCTTTTCGCCATACAACGCTGCCCAAATTTGTACCTCAAGTATTATCATGCATTTATGCGTAGAAACGATTTCATCAAAAATATAAATGGAGTTTTTTATTTACTTGAACCAACTACCTAAATCAAAATGTCGTTTAAACATGGAAATTAATGGCAACACAGATAATGTCATCGTAATAAGTATTAACTACGGAAATCACGTGGTTTTTGATGCATCCAATCACAATCAAGGAAATACATTTAAACCAATAAATAGTATTAGCTGTTATCTGTCAGCCAATGACAAATTGCGTCTAAGTAATTACGTTACATTATACGCAGATTCCATATTTTACTTCAGATTTTTAGCTATTAGTATAATTTTAGATGTTTTTGAGATAATTTGGGCGCGGGTGAGACGCACGCGATTGGTCGACTAACGCGCTAACATAGCTAAAGTGCGTGTCCTCTACTTGAATTTAAGTATGGTCATTTTTCTATTCGATATTTACGACCCAGCAACAGCAAAAATTGAAAATAAATAAATAAGATAATAAACAAGCAAAATGAGGAATTATATCGAGTTTTAATAAAGCACCTACAGTCCACAACATTACAAGGTCTCATTTTAAAATCCGAAGGTCTCCTTTCGAAACCCTTTCAATGTTACTTTTGTTTATTACACTACCAGCTTTACATATCTTTGATATGTGTGATATATTATTAACCCAGGTTAGGACTGGAGTTACATGTTGAGGTAATACGGTAATACCTAGTATATAGTAATACAGTAAACACACTTTACAGTAATGTTAAACAGGTTTTCTTGGGCCTTATATAGTCACTTGGCGAGCTTCCAGAGCGAGGCATTGCATTGCATCCTCAGCATCTGGTCTTGTATACCCGTCACCACCATCATGTGGAACTCCTCAAACGGTCATTGACCGAGAAATCGAGATTTATAAAATGTTCAGAGTCGTAATCGTAACCCAAAATTACGTTATGACATGACGCGCCAAGGCAAGCTGTGAAAGGGTTTATAAATAGATTTCGATTTCAAATAGTAAGTAACGTTTTGATCTTAATATTTTGATCTATATGAGTAAAGTATATAATATATATTGGAATTGGATGTAATGAATAAGGCAATTTTTATGCGTCATGTTGTTTTCTTATTTATTATAAAAATAAATACACTGTATACTTTTCGATCAGAGGTCCAAGCACGGAACTTTGACAGTGCTGTAATCGTATTACGGTGTAAACGTATTACGTACTACGGTGCTGTCAAAATTCGTGCTTATGCCTCAGAGCTCAGAATGTATACTATAGTTATCATTGAATAGTTTTTGCATTGTTACTGTCTTTCACGGAGTAGTAACTTTTGTCATTTCCTTTTTGCATCTTTTCTTATCTTAATGTTTATCCTATGTTAGTGCATTTCACTAACGTATATGCAACATATATAGATAAAATACCAGGTATCCATGGCATGGCATTCACATAACGTCACGTTACTTCTTTTATCATCCTTCATAATTTCATTATCGCAATTACGTACGTAAAAACTAGAAGTTTGCACGTAATTTGAGAATGCGTGCATCCCTACTAGTGTTCGATTCACGTGCATGTGACGTCTTCTCCGGTGGAACGTGACGTGACTCCGATAAACGTGAACGTCTTGTTTGTCAACTAACGATTGCGAATAGCGATTTAATTTATTTCAATCAATGTCATTCGTTCGTTTCATGTTTTCGAATCGATCAGCTGTTCTTGGAATAATTTAAAATCAGCGTACTGCTCTGTTTACAAGTCGTTGTACATTTTTATAGTTTTAGTGTTTGTGTTTTCCTTTTAGGTAAAAAAAATACGGTGTTACCAAAAAAGTTTCTTTAAAACTGTTTAAAGTTGAACATTGTTTAAAATTAAGATTGTGTCATTTTTGTTTTACAAACAAGATAAACACGGCCCCATTTTTAAAAAAGTCAAAATTTAAAAAAATATTAAAAACTTTTGTGGTGAGACCGTTAGTTTTCCAAAATTAAAAGCATAGAAATCTCACCTCATTCTGAGATGAATGTACACTTCTCATATTATTTTTACAAACTTACAGCTTAAAAGATGTCCATTAGTGGATTATTGTAGCGTTCGTATGGCAAGGTTAACCGTTCACGTGTGTTTCGTAATTAAATCTCCAAATATCGTACTGTATCTTTAATGATATTAAACTACTAACATTCAAGTAGGTACTGTTGCACTCTCAGATGTTAGTTAGTAGGTGTATGACGTTAGCCAAATCTTTTTGTTTTGTTTGTTGCTATGTGGCCGGCGGTCGAGTTGAACAGACCACAATATTTAAAGGAAAAATGTATTCGTGAAATTACCATTATTTCCTGTTGACAAATTATGTAGTTGCAATCAAACAAACCCAACTGACTCGGAGTTTTTGGAACAGTTAATTTGCCTGATGACTTTTAAGATACTTAGAACCCAGCTAAACATTTTTTGTATTTAAGATACGATGAATCACACACCTTTATCTCTTGCATAATATTTTAATTTAATCCTATTGTATTCTATTTCGCAAGGTTAATTCGAATAGATTATTAAAGGATACCTTCCTGTTCGCATATTGCGTCGTTATTACAAAGACCCTTGAGGATATTCCGTGTTATTTGCGTGTTATTAATATATCGATGTCGTGTCATCGTTAACCACAATTGTAGCCGCAAAAGGTGCTGTGTCGTTGTTATATGACACTAGTCACTACCAACAACGCTCAATCTGCCCTTGGCTCCGGAAGAAAACGGTCAATTATCATATTGGTCCCATTTTAAACTCGTTAACTATAACATCCGTTTTAAATAGTAAGTAGAATTCTCTCTTTAGAATCACAGTGTAGCAAGCGGAATATGTTAATTTATAGTACCTACTGAAAGTAAATAATAATAACATTATTGTCTTTCCTAGTAGATGTAGACATTGAAAGTGGTATCATAAATTTTGATGCTAATCAAATAAAGTTGTGACTTTAATGGTGTTTGTGAAAAATTGTAAACAGTGTTGAGTTGTGATGTGATGGTGAAAATGTCTTCTGGTGTGTGGGGTTTTATGCCCAGTCGGTGCCGGTGGATAGAGACTCTGCGCCATTGCGGCAAGACGCTGCTGCGGCGTCAACGGAGGTTGCTAAGGAGAATCAAGAAGGTAAACTATTTATGAGGGTTGTTCTACGGGGCGTGAAAGTCCTAGAGATTAATGTTGAACAAGTTTAAACAGTGTAAAAAGTGACAACTAAGATCTACTCTCCGTAGCGTGCCTACCGAAACGCAATAAAGCGATTTAGTGATATTGATTACATATTTGTTTCTTAGGTTTTCACGCACATCACTCATTAAATAAAACTAGATATTACGGGTTAATGCACGAAACTTTATTTATTTATTGACGTTTCGTAGCCTTTACTGGCTACGTCGTCGGAATCAAACTTTTATTTAATTTGTCGAGCTACCTTCGAAAGACTTTTATTGAGCGTTCGGTTATTTTATTGTTCGATTTTTAAAGTTTTATTGTCTATGTATGAATTTATTATTTAATTTACTTAATAAAGCATTTATTTAAAATTATTTTTTGTAATTTTGAGTTTATTGATTTACTTTATAACTCCTTTAGAGTTTGACAGATCTGGGGGCCAATCGCCTAACAGGAATGCTATGGTTATCGCTATCGCTTACGATTTAATTTTGGTATATCTGTCCGTCGAAGGTTATCAACTGCATCGCGCTCTTTTTCTTCTTTTGCATTGGTAATAACAAAGTTAAAGAGAATGAGCGCGAGGCATTTAAAAAAACCTGCGGCGGTCAGAAATAACAAAATGAAATCGTAAGGGATAGCTATTACCATAGCAATCCAGGCGATTCGCCCCCTGTTGTGTCGATAAAAATCACAAACATTATCACATAGCTGTAGAAACTTTTATAAACATAAAAAAATATCGCGCTGCTCATGTTACAGGGGCTGGTTGATGTAGAATAAGTGACTGAATTGCATCTACATACAAAATAAGTAATAATTAAAAGTACTCGTATTTCATGAATGTTTTGTTGTATTAAAATTCAGAAATGTTATTCATGTGACAATGACGCCTTCGAAATTGCGAAACACATATCAATCGTAATTCGGCACTCATCGACTACTTACTCGTGCAATAAGTACGCACAATGAAGATATTGTGAAACGGTAGATCAGTGTTCAATCCTCATTGTTTTATTAGTATTTAATTTGATACGCCGCTTATTGTTGTTAGTATTGTAGACACATCTTGTCGGGCTCGTTGCTCCTCATTCAATCGTCACGTAAGTGTTCTAATTATTCTACAGAAATAGATATAATTGATTATACACTGCAATGACTTTGCAATGTTTAATTTTTTTCTGTAAAGAATGTTGTATACACCGTCTCTGCGTCATAGTGCCTGTGCCCCAGCAATGGGGACATTAATAGGCTGATGATGACTTAATGTCAATGCTGTATAAAAATAATTTTGTGTTTCTCCGTTTGTCATGAGCCTTTGTTACTTTGAAAATTCTTAGTATTGTGCTCCGACCCGCTTTCGCTGCAATGACGCATCGACGCGAGGGATCCTCTGAAACAACGAATTAAATTATTGTTAAGGTTCAACTTTCTCATATACTTACACCTTTTTTAATTAAATATTTTTTAAATGAGTGTGAAGCGCAATTTATTGGTTTTTAGAAGACCTTCAGTTTTAAATAAGTAATACTCTTTTGAGATGGGACGGTGTTATCAGTATTAGTGCTTTGTACGAAACAAAAAATAGCATTGATATATCTTGTTGCCTTCGGTGATTCTTTCGCGTTTCGTAAAATTAACAAGTCTTCCCGACTCGATTAGTTATTATGATACAAAAAATAAGTGGGTCAGCAAGACAAAGTTCATTGTTAAATACAAACAAATTTTATCTTGTAATTGGTATATATACAATACCGATAAAGTTACGCGGATATTCTTATTAAAAAACATTATTGTTAAGTAGTTCTCATTTGTCTTGCGATATGATGATTTTTTTTTCTCTGCACCGAGTCACTGACCGCCGACCCTGGCATACTCACAGAATCGTTTGATAAATACATCCGGCGTGAAGATTTGATGAGATGTGACAAGTGGGAACTGACATTAGGAAAATACACATTTGTGAAATATTCTCTTCTATATAAAAATAATAAGCTAGCAGGTGTATTTAAACGTAACACATTTGTTTAAGTAATATCAATACTTAAATGTATTGTAAATTTTATTAGTGTATCTTATAAACTATACTTCCTACAATAATTCAAAGTCTCATAAATAATTCGAATCTTAACGGAGGAAATCGCATAAAAACTGCAACTAGCAAAGGTCGTCGTTGCGAAATAAAGATGTCCGAATTCGAGGACTTTTGAAGCTGTCGTTTTACTCATGCGGTATGGGAGATCTGTTCTGAATATGAACTCTATTTAGTGCGTATTAAAACACTTTTCAAGTAGTGAAAAAAATCTGTGACCCCGCTAGTTTTGCAAGCGGTGGTGGTGCGGTGCGCCCGCGCCGGTCGGTGCAGCCCAGCGTGGTTGCGTTGCGCCACAGACGGCGCGTTGACGCGACAGCCGCTTGCCAAACTTCGTTGTAATGTTACGAGTATTACGATGTTTTCACTTTGCATCCATACAAAAATCTCAGAACGTCAATGTCCATTTGACATTCTTGTACGGGCTATATCCAGCTTTAGTTAAATTGAGATTTAGCAAAATTGCTACCTTAGTTAAAAGGGCACTGTAATACGTCATTTGTTAATCAAGCAATAAATTCACTTGTAAGTATTCCTGGACATGGCTGAATAAATAGACAGATTAAAGCACTATTTTTTAACCAGTAAATACCTAGTAGTATAAGTTCCTAAAGCATCCATGTCTCGTCTTCTTGATTCGCAAAGTTAAACAATTGGTTGGGGATCTCTATATTATTTTTCTTTCTTTCTGAGATCGCCATAGGAGTTGTGTACATGTTACTGTTATTTCTTGTTAAATTGACTATTAAATCAAACTGTCTTCCTTCATGTGTATCCAAGCAGAGTGAAACCCATTTGCTATATTTTATTCTCTTAAAGTACATACATGCAATTAACCTGAAAAAATTATTCTAAAATAAGCAGGTCATCGTGTTGATCCGCTATAAATATACAGCTTCTGTGCGTGTTTATCAAAATCTTTCTTAATTTAGATAGGCGGAGGCGGTCATTCGTTTATTCAGAAAACAAGTTTTTGACCAGATGATACGGTTTCACCATCATCGCCATACTTTGAAGAGACCAAAACAAAAACATTATTATTTATTCATTATATACTATAAGTCCTCGACTGTCATCTTTAATTAGATATTTTAAGAAGCCGGCCTTCGGCCTTTGCTTAAACGTTTTGAGAACAAGTTCGAAATTGTGTAATGGTTGTATTCTTACTTGGATAGTTTTTTATTAATCTTATGTTTGCTGAACTCACACATTAATTTAGCATTTCCCCTTTTTTTATTAGTTCAAAGGGACAAAACGTTTCCGGTATAAACAATGTGAAATGAACAAGGTGCCTGTCCGTCGTAAAGTTGGATAAGGTCCAAAACCTTTCTTTAGTGTAGAATTACATATAAATTACTTTTTTGTTGAAAGTATTAGTATTTATTTCTGTGTAATTCTCTTAAAAACACAATTAGCAAGTATCTGTAATAATATAAGAGATTACCATGGACTCAAATATGATATTGTTCCGTGGTACTACTATAAATGAAAATTTCCAGCTCTATTCTATAGATAAGCTAGATATCCAAGTACTATGTCATTGGAAAAGTCATATACACATGTTGTGAATAAGAAAATAATGTGTATCTAAATGGAGAGAAATAAATAGGCTTGAATTCTGCAAGATTCCCTTAAGCTAGAAGCATAAACTGAGCTTTCAGTAGTACCGTTCCAGTGGTCCCAAATTACAGAAGTTTATGATGTTTTAAAGTTAAAGATACGTCACACACGCTTCTAATTTGGCAATACAAAAATCAGGTAATTACCCGACTTGCCTTCAGTCGGGCAGACTCTCTCGTCGCGGCTACACTTTGCTACAACGTGTAAATATTTTACGTTTTTTGCAGACAAAAAGCCCTATGTGTGTTTTTAGATAGTACACAAAATACACGAGAACTATAAGAGATAAGAAAAACGTGTAATTTCATTCGTAAGTACAGTTTTAAAGAAATTTATGTAAAAATATTTAGTGATCACTTATTTTGACAGTTGCTGACACCATTGACTTAAATCTCGCTCGTTAGCCTAAAGAGGTTTTAATTGAATCTGCTTTATGAATGATAGTGAAAGAGACTACTTTAGTGCACTCTATTGGCGACTGTTGCCAAGGGAAGTTGGGACGGGGACTACTTGTGCCATTTTAGAATGCTACAATGTTGGCGTATAACCTGTCTATATATTATACGTCACTGGCTGCAGCCAAATAACTTTTGCGTATATTATTTTTTGGGGTTTTAAGACCGGTTGGTGCAATGGCTAGACTTTTGTTTGATAGATCTTTGGTTGATGCTAGTACTTCACATGGCTATTCGTATTTGCTATTTTCATTTTGATAGCATCACCTGCTGTCCTTATCATATTCTATATTGAATGAAAAAGAGAGACTGTTGTCAAGTTGATAAGTAAATACGAATAGCCAAGTGTGAAGTACCGGCATCCGGTAGTTTCAAATATTTATGCCCAAGTCATAAAAAAGTACGACATAATGTTTATAATTATTATATACGTTTATTATTATTCATAGTACAAGCTCTACTCAGTTTGAGTATTGTTTGGGGCTCAATAATCGTTGTCAGTTGTCCAGGATTTAAACATACAGATTTCTGATTCTTCGATTCGTCCACGTGACGGTGATAGGGTCAGGGTAGGCAACGATGCTAGTGATATTTTTAGTATCGCAAGCGTCTATAGACTAGGTGGCCGCTTATCATTAGGCGAGCCATAAGCTAAAGTCGGTTTACGAACGTTTTTTTACGTGATAACGTGTCGTTCGCTGTGAGGTTCGCTGGAGGTCAGGGGGCGTCGAAGGCACCCCTCGACCTCACCTCACACGTACCGCGAAATGTTGAAATATCTCGTGACTCGTGACATGACGTCACACTTTAATGCGTGCAGCCAGTATTCATCGTTTTATAAGACGTTATCCCGTCAAAAACCGTATGCGTGTTTCTAAAACGTATGTATTTTCCCTTGTCCCCAGGTGTACCTACACAGTTGGCGCTCCGCAGACGAGCTAAACATGTTGGTGGGTGCCAAGGTCGGCGGCGCGACTCCCCTCGTGATAGCGTGCAGGAACGGACACTATGACGTCGCCGAGTATCTCATAGACAGGTGCAAGGCTGACATCGAACAGCCGGGTTCAGGTGACTACTGCACTGTTGTTATTCATAATAATAGTATAAAGAAATAACACTATTTATACTGCATGACACATCAATCAAAATGTGGGTAGATGTTGTATTGGTAACGACATGTAAATGTTGCGACTTCTATAAAATGCTGATCAGTTTCTTGCGCCCATTCTTCTCATTAGCTAAAAGATGTCCATGGGTGACAGAAAAATAAATGGATGATACAAAAGAGCGTGGTGGTGTGGGAAAATTGGTTTCCCATACAAACTTCCACGCCCCTGTTCACTCTCTTAAATAATGATTTCTGGGATAAAACAATCCTATGTCCTTTTCCGGGACTCAAACTATATTTATACCATATTTTATCGAAATCGGTTCAGTGGTTTAAACGTGAAGAGGTAACAGACAGATGGACTTGAATTATTATGGATGGATAGCTGGATCGTACCATGTAAATTTACTTCGTGATCATGGCACTTTCAATAGTGCAGTACGGGATGTGGTCTAGGTAGACAGCGGTGCAAGTGATACTCTGGTATCGCTTGCAACAATATTAAAAACTTGATCGTAAGCCTGTATACGCTCTATAGGTTTAACAGCAGACGAGCCATATGCTCGTTTTTCACCCTCTTTACATAAAAAAGGTAAATCGCCGGCACCTGTCTGCTAGTTTGAATATGAAATTTGTTTTGTATCAGCCGCACAAGTCATGAAGTCAGGTCAGGCAAGGAGAATCGCAGGAAAACTTTTTATAGCTAAAGAAATTGAATTGCTAAGTTCTACGTAAATACGTATGAATATTTAAAAAAACCGAATTGCTACGGTATCTTCTAAGCCCCATACTAATACTATAAATGCGAGTGTGTCTGTCGGTTACCTCTTCAACGCTTAAACCACTGAACCGATTTAGTTGAAATTTGCTAAAGAGACTGAGTTTGAGTTCCGGGAAAGGACAAAGGATAGCTTTCATCCCAGAAATCATCTTTTCAGGGGGTGAGGCTGGAAGTTTGAATGGGAAACCAAATTTTTCCATGCAATTCAAAGTCGAAGGCTCCCACTACTATTAATAAAATGTGCTAAGTAGTTACTGGTCTTTCCTACATTAACATTTTAGCGTGTGTGTCATAGTCTTGGACTGGCGACGATGTCACTTTTTTTATTTAACGTATTTGCGGCTGATACTTATAATGTTATTTCCTAATAATCTTGTCAACCTTAGGCTCTGCCAGAATATCAGAGCCACAGCGGCCCTGGTGTCGCTGTGGCATTATGCTGAAGTAGGGGTTTAGATGGCCTTTCTTCTAGTGTTATTGTATACCTTAATTATAATGCAATGATGTTTAAGGCTAAAAAAGAAAAAAAGACTTTCTTTTCTTGCCTTATTTTTCCGGTAACTGATCAGCAATTTCGCTACGTTGAGGTGTGTTAGTGTCTAGGTAAAAAGATGCATGTAAAAATATGTTAGTGATTGTAAATCTGTCATTATCATTTTTTTAAAAAAAAGGTCGAGTAGACTATTTAAGTACTGTCCTACAGGCTATAGATTCTGGTCGATTCTTCCTCGAAGTCACTCAAACTATATCTTGGACTAGTAGATCCATAGCGCGGGCGCGGGCATCTTCTGTCTTTCTAACGCTCCGGTAGATTCACGTTTTCTTTAATACTGTAATCTGTACCGTAGTAGATACATAGATTTTCAGCAATTTCCAGCTATAGGCTGCCTCATACTCTCAATCTTTGTGCACTGTATCATGTCGAGACTCACAACCATTCCACATTATATGTAGGTATTACTTACATACTATGCGAATGTTTTCTATACTCACTACATAAAAGTTTTTACTTTTGATGCGATTTAAAAGACAGTCGTTTCATTTGAACACAACACATAAATACTACTTTGCCTTTTGTGTTCGCTTTAACGAACGTAATATAAAATGCCATTTCACTGTATTATACATACTTCAATGGAATTCCGCCTAAATAAATCATTCGCGGAAGTTTGCATGCGTTAGCGTAAAGTGTAGTGTTTGTGCGGGTTACGGGCAACGCGTGTGGCCGTAATTGTTTTCCTATTGCGTCAATAGTTTGGCTGCAGGCCACAAAATCTAGCTAATTTAACGTAAGTGCGACGTTTTCACAGAATTTATCAGTGGTTTTAATTTCCTTCTTTTCATTTATTAACCACATCTAAGGAATGAAGAAAGGTTCAGTTAAATTTAAACGGGTTCGTTTAATTAATCGGTGCTGATTCTAAATTTGGAGCAGATACAGAATTTAGTACTTTAAAGTGGCTCAATGACGAAAATATTATCTTAGTCCGGTTCGTATAGTGAAGTCCGAGAGTTGTATCCGTCGCCGTTGAGGTTACAAATGACGAAAAATACTAATAATATAGTGTCAAAATTGAGTAGTGAGTCATTGTCTCATTCGTCCATTAGGAATTTCCCACGCTCCACAGAAATATTTGATTTAGGTAAATTACTTTTACATTAGGTTTTATGTTCGGGCCGTATATAATAATAGCATTTAATCTCATATTAATTTGGAAGTTCGTATAATGGATATACGTATATAAATAATCACCTGTGCTGTATATAGTTTTAATGAACTTGACTTTGCTAGGAGATTAGGATAAGACTTTGGTATTTGTAGGGCTTGCCAAGGTTTGTTTGTGAATTTCACACAAGGTCATTCATTCGGTAATTTTCTTTAGTTTAACATTGTTTACTTTTTAACAAAAATAAATCGTTTTTTGATGTTTATCTTTTTTCTTCATCACCATTATTATTCACTCGCCTGTGGTTTCAGTACAGCCAGTATAACTATATTTCAAAACAGATGATAATGATTATAAAGACATGGATTTTTTTATTTGTAATATTTGGACTGATCTTAGAGTATACATGAGTATACATTACTGCTCAACTTTAGCGTAGTAGTAAATTATGCAAGGCATGGTACTTAAAGCAAACCCGATACACGACTGCACTGGTTCGCGCCATATACCTTGCGCAGATGGCTAAGCATTAAAGCTGATCTATGAAGAAAATACATATCGCACTAATATTACAACAGTGTTGTAACTCAAAATTGATTGTTTTTCAGAATCAAGGAAAAACTGATTATTCACTTTTTATTATAGATTATAAAAAAAATCATTCTTTATGTGTATTATTACAGAATTTAAAGAAATTATATATATACCAATAATTTTAAAAATTACGGGGACTAAAGTTATTCACATTTTTTGAGTTGATACGATATAATATCGAACAAACTGTTCAAAACAAATGAAATAATATTTTTAGTTGTGTAGTTATTTTAGAAATATTTTGGGTTACTATTATTTGAATATAGCTTTTTTGGTATAGTTTAAATATACATTTTGGAGTTACAACAATAGGCTAGTTGACTCATGTCGAATTGTATTAAATAAATGTTTATTTCTTAAAGTATTTAGTCTAAGGAACCTAAATATATCGATTTCACTTCGTAAAATCAGAAGATTGCTGTAGATTTTAATTTAAAAAAATATTTTTTAGTCTATACTTTTTAAACACTAAAAACGCTGTTCGCCACATCCGCCATGATTGTGACGTCTCTTTGGTAGTAAACAACTAAATGTCATTCATACATAACTTTAAAACTTGTATTATTAAAACTGATAATAAAAAACTTAAAATATTATTCAATGAGTACTTACATCAAAGTGATTTTCGCAAAAATAAATTTTACTATGAGTCGATAAGTTGCAGGATCAGTTTTAGCAAGTTCTAACCAGGTATTGCGTGGGTTAATTTCTTTCGGCACTTTAATCCACAACTTTCCTGGAGTCTTCAAGGATGTGTTTTTACTTTCTCGTACAATACAATAATGATAATTACTATACTTTTCGTGGTATTTATTAGAAATCATGTTTTTTTATTATAAACTCAGATAGGTTATTTTCTAACTGCTTACAAGTTTTTGTTTACTACCGTCGACGTCATAACATAGATAATCTATAGACTAAAATGGCCGATAGCGTTTTTGTATGTCCATGAAAAGTCTATTTTAAGATTAAAGATTTGTAGCTTTATAGGTCTCAAAAAAATACAATACATTTTTTTTCGGTCTAATAGAACATTTATTAACCATTTAAAACCTTTTTCCAAAAAGGGTCAACTAGCCTATTCTAATAATTGTTTTTGGTATTATATTTACGTATACCTTGAACATTTTCTCCGAGTTAGTAAATAAAAACAAATAATTAAGTTTTATTAGAAACAATTATAATTTCGCAATAATTTAGAACAAAACATACAATGTTTGAAATAATTCAAAATAGTGAAATATTTTGTATAAGTGATTACAAAATAAAGTTTCTTAAACAAAACAGTTCCTATATACATACAAGTATAAAAATAAATATCTATTTATTTTTAAACTTAGTAAGTCCTTACGAAACATAAAAAAACAGTCTTTTCCGACACATAATGATTATCACTAATTATTTTTATAAAGTAGTTGAAGCATTAAATGTAAACTTAATCAAATAATCAACAGAATAAAAATCCCAAAACAAAACTAAACAAAAATAAAACAGTTATTAGTTATTGACAACAGTGAAGGTAATAAATTTGAGGGATGTGCACATTCTTCAACAGGTTCGTCATTTTCTTTTTCCTGGTTTTCGCCGCTCGTTTTTATTGCCATACCAACAAGTAATCGCCCACGATGCATAGACATTCTGCAAATTAATCAAGTTCTTGTTAGCAAAATACATACTAAGTACACGTGTCACATAAAGTGTAGTAACTTTAAATTAACGAGATAAAATATTTAGTAAACATTTTCCTAATTTAACAATAACATATTCCAATGCACCGTGATAAATACTATGATAAACAATTGGGCTTTTCCTTAAATACTAACAAATTAAACAATAAAAGGTGCTCAATCGTCATGCATCAACAATACTGTATCATGTCTAAAATGAATAACTAAACCAATAATAATGTCGTAAATAAAAAAATTATTTGAAATATCGCTTGTATTAATCAGTAAGAGTGTATTAACTCTAAATACACCCATTCCATATTAAAGTTTAAATCAGCAAAAACGTAATAATTCAAAATAATACTTTAAATTTTCCATACGTTGAATCAGCAATACTGCTACAACTCGAAATATTGCGCAAAGCGGCACGTCCTTCCTCGGTCACTGTTGGTCGCAACTTTCCGGTATATTATACTACTCTTTGGTCGCAACTAAAGAAGAAGCAATATTAAGCGGGAGGGTATGACAGTTGGTCAGTCATCTATACTGACTTATAACGCCATCTCTTATTTGTTTTTTGCATTATTTCAACGACGGTTTTATTGCCTTGTGCGGAATCGCATCCAGCGTTTGAATATGGTGTTATCTCAAATTCGACATTTTTTGAGTTACGACACTGTTGTAATATTAGTGCGATATAGTCAAACACATCTCACATAGAGTCTCTATGTTACTCCAGCCACGTCACATGATATTGGTTGTATCCACAGCGAACAGAAAAAGGTTTCTGTGCTCACTCGGTCTATCCATATGCTGCCCAGAAAAAGAAAACCTGCTTCATTTATGACTGCGTGAGCTATTTGAAGCAGTTGTTGATACTTTTTTATGAATTTCATGCGAATATCGCTCAATAAATTCTCTCATGAATATAATGTATACATATATATATATATATATATATATATATATATATATATTATATATATATAAGTATATGCGTGTCCGTGTAGTAACGCTTGATCGATGTTTCGCAGTGACATTTGACGGCGAGACGATAGAGGGCGCCCCGCCGCTATGGTGCGCCGCGGCCGCCGGCCACTTGCCCCTGGTGCGGTTGCTGGTTCGCGCTGGCGCGAACGTCAACTCGACAACTCGTACGCACAGCACGCCACTGAGGGCCGCGTGCTTCGACGGCCACTACGATATCGTCAAGTTCCTAGTCGAAAATGGTGCCGGTAAGTTATGATTGTTATAGTCCGCTGATTTGGTTGGTTGTTTGTCACCTCGACAACCGGTACGCACAGCACGCAGCTGCGGACCGCGTTCTTCGACGGCCACTACGATATCGTCAAGTTCCTAGTCGAAAACGGTGCCGGTAAGAGATCATGTTATTCTTATTATTCAAGATCCGGGTAATTTACTTCCCTGATGTTAAGTATGGCTTCGATCTAGTAATGGAGGTGGTGATAGTATAGATGAGCGTCCCGCTTCGCCTAACTGGTATAAACCCTATTCCGTGATGCTCTCTGCAGGGAATGAAACGTAACGAACCCTGATTACGTAAAGTCACAATTTTTAGAAAATTCTGGAGGCTAATTTTCTAACTACATAACCCTTCGAAATTCCTATCTTAGATTTCATTTCTGTACACAGTTTCAATAGTTCTATCAAAATATCGATTTCGTGCATTCGATACCTTTAAAACAAAGACTCGTGGCGATCATAATCACTTGTCAATCGAATATCTATCAAATGTGAAATTGAAAGGTATCTAAAAAATAGTAGTTAAAGCTAGACAACTATCTCCCATAGATCAGGAGACTTTTAATTTACTGAGTAAGTTGCCAGAACTAAACAAATCTTGAGCACTGTTTCAACATTTTCGACAAAAAACACTAAAATATCTTAAAACACTACCTGTTTCTGTTCCAGACATAGAGATAGCCAATCGCCACGGTCACACGTGCCTAATGATCGCGTGTTACAAGGGCCACATCAGGATCGCCAAGTACCTCCTCTCGTTGAACGCTGACGTGAACAGGAAGAGTGTTAAAGGCAACACGGCGTTACACGATTGTGCCGAGAGCGGTTCTTTGCACATCCTGAAAATGCTCCTGGGACATGGCGCCACAATGGACGTGGACTCGTATGGTGAGCTCTATATTATCTATTATCTTATAAGCTTAGTAGTTAGGAGCTCGAAATTCGTGGATGAAAGCTGGAAATGGGGAGAAGTTAATAATTTGCTAAATACAAAATTACATGGCATTCTTGTCGTCTAAGTGTTATTGCAATGGGTTTGCAAAACAATCGTTTGATTTGTACAACAGCATTGCCTACTGCATCTTTCTTTTAGAGCATAGCAAGGCAGGCATCTCGTAATGAATAAACCTTTCATTAGTAAGTATTTGGAAATAAGCGTAAGAAAAATAAAACTATCACGCTTTCCAGTTCAATAGCATAAAAAATTCTTGTTAAAAAAATTGCGGGCAAAATGATTTCGAGTGCTTCCGTCTCGAAATCTTCGGTTTTTTTATACGTGGCGCAACGAATTACCCCACTCTACTTGATGTTAAGTGCAAGTCCAGTCGCGAAGAAAGATGGTTTGGCAGAAGATTTGCCGTTCCAGCCATCTTTAGGTATCTATACCCTATTGGGTACCCAAGGATGTCCAACGCTGGAACCTTACCAGCAGAAACACAGCACCACCAAAATGTAGTGTTAATTTACTGTGGAGGTAACTTCCCCAGATGGCGCTTCAATTCGAGCTGTGACCTATGTTTTAAGAAAAGATGATTTCTTTTCACCGCACAGTTTTTATTTAAACTCCTCGATTAAATGACGCGTTTCTCTGCCGTTATTCAGGTATGACTCCCCTCCTGGCCGCTTCCGTGACGGGGCACACGCACATAGTGGAGCATTTAATAAGCGCGGAACATGGTCTTGTGACGCGGCAACAGCGGATTGACGCGCTCGAGTTGCTAGGCGCCACTTACGTTGACAAACGACGGGACATGGTCGGAGCCCTGGCGTTGTGGAAGCGAGCTATGGACGACAGGTGAGAGAAGTGTTGCAGTGCCTGTTACCGTAAAATTGTAAATACCGTTAGATTATAATTTATCTCGCAACATTATAAACTGTCGAAAACTTGTTAACTGCCACCTATTGTTTACAATTTAACGCGTTATCTTTAGTGTACATTATAATCTATCGAAGTGACATAGTCAAATTGTATAATTGTATACGACGGTCATTTGTTCTTACAATCAAAACAAGTGACTACCAGAAGTCTGAGATATCCCCACAAACTTGTTCTTGACACAAATCCAAAGACCAAGCGTTTCTTAAAAAATAGTTACGCAATGTGTAATGTAATATATAATAAAATACCACATGACATAAAAAACTCCCATTTGACATGTTTCTCAAACGATTACGAAAATGGCTACTGGAAAAAGTTTTCTATTCAATTGACGAATATTTAAATTATAAATGACATACATAATATTATTCTTATTAAATGAATTGATTAGTTTTGATTATTATCCTATTGAATATAATGTAGACAATTTTTTTTCCTATCTTATTACGGATTTATTAATGAAATTGTATTTTTATTTTGTTATTGTTTTCTTAGAAATATAAATGGAAATATTCCTTTTGCATGCTATAATCATATGGCTAAATAGGCTTAAAGCTACTTTTATATCTTTGTTAACATGAACATTTCAATGTACCCACCCTATTTAATGGCAAATAAAGAATTTGAATTTGAATTTGACGGAAATAAATTGATTTTGTGCTGAAAATAACTGCGAAATTTAGAATTTAGTTATTTGAAATGAAATTGTTGTGGAAGTAAATTCCATGATTAACCAAAGAATACCTTACTCGACGGACACAAAAAGGCCTACTGCAAAACCGACCAATCAAGTACAGCCTTCGGACTGTTGTGTGTTGTGTGATTGAACAGTTTCACTTCGCTAGATTATAATCTACCGAAAAATAATACTTTTTAAATTATATGCATTATCTTACGGTTCACAATCTTTAGATAGTTTACTTAATCTTGCGAGATAGATTATGATCTAACGGTATTTACAATTTTACGGAGACATATCGGTAGTGTGATTAGCATAGTGAACGAAACTTAAATGCGCGCGGGGTTTCACCATATAAATGAAAATGTACGTACCCTGTCCAAGGTGAAAATGTCTACGAGTGAGATCAAACTTAATGATGGCTGTGAAATTAGCACATGTGGTGATTCTGTAAATGCAATTTAGACGCGTGCAGGGTTTCACTAACTGAAACCTGCACAAAGTTGTGCTCGTTGATAACTTCATAATCGTCATAAAGTTTGAATTAAACTATCCACGCGAAATATGGCTTTATTTGCAACTCAACTTGAGTTTGCGGAGAAAACTGGCTTTACTAGATTTTTTCTAAACTTCCGGATCCGTTTCATGCTCCGCAGTCAAAAAACAACCTGCCCTGAATAAAACAAATTGTTTATTAATTAAATAGTAATGTCACAGACAATACAAAAAGTTGTGTGCACTGAATTATAAGAAACAAGTTGAAAGTAATAAAAATATAATTATTTTCGAATGTTTTTTGCAGATTTCCAGCTGATGGCAGCGAACCAATTCCCAAACCCAAAGACGTGCCCCGCATAGAAGCCTACGATTACGCGGTGGAACCGAGCAACTCGCAACAACTTGAGGAAATACTCGCGGACCCGGATGCCATGAGGATGCAGGCGTTAGTCATCAGGGAGAGGATACTCGGTGAGATTTTGTGTAATATATTATAATGATAGACTGCTGCTCTACTACTGAAGGATATAATCGCGGATTCGGACGCCATGAGGATGTAGGCGTCAGTCATCAGGGAGAGGATACTCGGTTAGATCCTTTGTGATATTTTAAGAACTGAGTTTTCATTCTTGGTGCAGCAAATTGACCCACTTAATCAGATGTTTTGTGTAAATGGAGTCTAGGTTTTGAAGTGAAACTTCTTTAGGCACGCTTGACTTGGGGGTAAACTGGCGAATGTGTTACGATTTTTGCGTTACGATAATTGTCATCGGTGACTCATCGGTAAACAGTGAACAATACCCGTCACACAATACTTGAATCTAGTGCTTGGTGGGTGATAACTGACCCAGCGCGGATTGGTGGGTGATAACGGACCCAGCACGGACTGGTGGGTGATAAAGGACCCAGCACGAATTGGTGGGTAATAACGGACCCAGCGCGGATTGTTGGGTGATTATGGACTCAGTGCAGATTGGAGGGTGATAACAGACCCAGCGCGGATTGGTATTTTTTTTTCTATCAACAAATATTCAGGTTAAGTTTATAATTTTCAGATCATTGGTGCAAAAGAAGTTTCACTTCAGTCGTGTGGTCATAAGCACACTCCCTTTTTTTTCTTCGTTGTTAGGTTGGAACATTTTAAATCACAAACTTGAATTCTAATACGAGTTTCTGATGGATTGCCAAATTTTATTTATTTACAAGTTATCTCTTACTTTAAACCTAACTCTTAATTTATTAGATTACCAAAACTAATTAGCATAAACATTTATCATCCCCAGGTCCAGCGCACCCCGACACCTCGTACTACGTCCGGTACCGAGGGGCCGTGTACGCTGACGCGGGTCGATTCTCCCGCTGCCGACAGCTGTGGCATCACGCGCTGGACATGCAGCGCGCCGTGTTACCGCCTCTGTCACCGCTCACTCAGTCCAGCCTGTTTAGCTTCGCGGAGCTGTTCTCCTATATGCTCTGCGAACGCGCGCGGCCGCCGCTGCGAGGTGAGTGTGTCTTATATACTGTCGCCGCTACGTCTGCTACTTCTCCCGCTGCCGACAACTGTGGCATCACGCGCTGGACATGCAGCGCGCCGTGTTACCGCCTCTGTCGCCGCTGACTCAGTCCAGCCTGTTTAGCTTCGCGGAGCTGTTCTCCTATATGCTCTGAGAACGCGCGAGGCCGCCGCTGCGAGGTGAGTGTGTGTCTTATATACTGTCGCCGCTACGTCTGCTACTTCACCCTCTGCCGACAGCTGGGGCTCCACGCGCTGGACATGCAGGCCGTATACAGAAAGAAAGCTGGTAGTCTACCAGCGATTATAGTAACCGGTTCGTGCAGGTAACTGGCGCAAGCATTTCTATGGACCAGCGCCGATAAGCGACGAACGTTGCCGACAAGTTCCGACAAACTTTGACACGCGCTGGTCAGCGCTGGCACCGCCATTTGAAATTAATGAATAATATAGCTATTAACAGGATTGTTACCATGTACCATGTTTAAAACAATATATTAATGAACAACTACGCTTCAATCTGCATCCTTTATGTAACTGTTACCACTAAGGACCAGCGCTAAGAAGCGCTGGTCGGCTTCCAGCTTTCTTTCTGTATAGGGCCTTACAGCCGCCGCGTATTGTCGCCGCGCTGACGGGTTGCATATTTGCACACTACAATCATCATAATCATCATCAGCCTATTAATGTCCCCACTGCTGGAGCACAGGCCTTCCCTAGAGATCGGGCCTTGACCCACCACGCGGGCCTAGTGCGGATTTTTGGGTGCTGACGACTGCAGATGCAGCCGGGAGCAACGGCTTAACGTGCCTTCCAAAGCATGGAGGAGCTCGAGATAGTAAATCAACCCGCACTCTACAATAATTCCATAAAACACTATACAGATTTAATGAAGGTGTTAAGGAAAATTTACGTCACCAGTTGGCGCCACTGTGACACGATGTCTTTGCGCGCGAATTAATTTAACGACTGTTTAAATTGATCCATAGACTATGGCGACATTTGACGAATGAGTAGACCTTTCGTTTCAGTGCTGCCACCTGGCGCCCGTTGTTTCAGAAAACCCTCATTAATTTACTTTTCAATAATTGTCTGGAAATTACACTAAATAAGAACTTACAGTACTGACTTAAAATCAATTTCCACCCACAGGTCGGATCGTTCCACCGGTGACGTTCGACGACGTGGACCCAGTGTTCAGGAAAGCTATTTCTGAAATCCACCGCGGCATGGAGTTGCTGGATTCTAAGCTCAGCATCGATAGAGAACAAACGTTGACCACTCTGCAGCGGGTGCTGGTTATATCCTTACATTTGGCGACGCTTATGGCGAGGTTATTGGATGAGCCGGAGTGCACGGAAGAAGTCTCTAGGAATATACATAAAGCGGTCTACTCGCTCGTCAAGTTAGATATTAAGGTGAGTTTGTCTTTTTCATTTTCTTTATTTTAAGACCTTTATGGAGTTGTTCAGCCTTAAATAATGTTTATTTAGGTTTTCATATGTATTTAGTACCATTTGGTTACGAAAGATGATACTAATAAAATCTGTCAAATGTTCGGGTATATGTTCTAAATCGCGCTGTAGAAATTATTATATGTATATACTTATGATAGATGAATAAGGTTCAAAATTGCGAATAAATTGGGCCACAGCGTTATGTAGAAACAGGGTGCCAGATTTTTTTTATTTAAGAAATCCCCTGTCAAATAACCCTCAGTAAACCAACCCTCAAGTAGTACAGGATTGTATAGGAGTTGAGCTATTGTTTGCTATTTTACCTTTATTACAGAACTGAACTAGTTTTGGTTTGATGCCTAATATTTCTCGATTTTCTTTAGCATACACAGATAACAGTATAATTTTTAGTCTCTCTGCAACTTGAGCTACTTATTTGGAACGCTCACCAATACACTGACGTGTTTAGTGGCCATCTATGTGCGCTTGCTCTCAAACAATACCTTCGGAAGAACTGTTTAAGTAGTTAATAAGGTTAATCGCTTCTATACCTAAAGGACAATGACCAAAATAGGTGTGGACTAGGTGCTTAGCAAAGACCAATTTTTCAATTTTTTTTACGATTTTTTTAAAAATATTTTAGTTAGCGTCACGTCATGTCAGTGGAAACGGCTATGATTGGCCGAATTTAAGTTAGCATCACGTCTAAGATTTGCCGGGCAAAAGATGACTTTTGCAGACATGGGATGCGTTTCAAACCGTATATTTAAAGATGTTTATTATCCATTTTATTGAATTGTGTAACAGAAAATGTATCTTCGTATCTTCGCTTTAGCTTTGGTAATATATGACTTCGAATATTATTTCTTAAATAAAAAAATATATAATCTTTTTCCTTCGCGGTGCTAGAAACGGTTTTAAAGTATACTGATACAAAATCATAATGATTCAAAGGTGCAGGTCTTGCAATATATAGTTTCACTTGTTAAAATGTCCATCAATGTTAAGCAAAAAACCCGTATAAAGTGGGCATTTGCCTTTATTAATGTGCATTTGTTTGTTGGCAGGTCCGCCAGGGTCGCTCGGCGCTGCACGTCGCTTGCTCGGCTGAAAGCAGCCGCGCCCGAGGCGGGGCGTGGCTGCCCGCACCCGGCGACGCACAGCCATGCTGCGCCGCGCTCGTGGCGCTCATGCTGCGCCTGGGGGCCGCACCCGACGCGCGCGACGCTGCTGGCAACACGCCGCTCCACCTCGCGTGCCAGGTGAGCGTGTATGTGTGTGTGTGTGTGTGTGTGTGTGTGTGTGTGTAGGTATAAGAAACGGACAACTTTTTTTATTTATTTATTTATTTAAACTTTATTGCCAAACATAAGCAAACGGCGGACTTAATGCCATAGGCATTCTCTACCAGTCAACCAGTAAGATTATTGGAGACAAAATAGTACGGCGATAGAGCAAAGTTGCTAAAAATTCAATAAAATGATCAATATCAACGAAATAAAACAGCAATAAAATAATAATACTTAAATACAAATTGATGCACATACATAAAATACTCATATTACCATACATAAACATACACATATAAATATATATATATACACATAAGCATAACATACATAAAATACAATAAATATAATACATATCGATGCAAACTATAGGGAAAAATCACAAAATCACGTAGTCAGGTAGTGTTCACGCACATGTTTTTTGAACTCAAACTTCTTGTCAGTACTACGTATGCTTAGTGGTAGAGCATTCCACAGGCGTATGGCAGTAATAGTGAACGATTTGGATCCAAAGCCAGAATGAATCTATTTTTCATCCCCTTAAATGTTACGCATTGGCCACGTAGATGGGCTAGGCTAAACGCGCGGGTGCGGGTGACTTCTGCGGGCGCGGGTGGTATGCCACGTACATTCAGTAGCGGCTACAGCGGTTGACTAAGTGGACGTATTGAGGATGGCTGTTCGATAGCTTAGTGTCTTCTATATGTGGATTTCTCAATAAAAATCGGATATTCAGATTGTAGAATATTATTCATTCATTCAAATTATATTAAAATGATGTGCATACGTTGTCTTTTTCGAATTGCAAGAGGGAGAGTGAATCTATATAAATCAAAATGAGTGCATGTAGTAACGAATGGGTACGAAATGAATGTATGAACGGACGATGATGATGGACCAATTGCAGCTTCTCTCTTCGGATGATAGATGGCGTTAACAATGGCTCTAACTAAAGTGATGCGTAGTTGCCTTGACAGAAGTTCGTATTTAATGGCGAATACTATACTTGTACCTAATTATTAGTAATTAGGTATTATCTAATAAAACTTATTGTCCTGACCTAGAAAAAGCTATCTGACTTCTTCCCATAGTGTTTTTATTACATTTTTATACTTGTGTTGTGGATGCTTAGACATCCATATAGGTGGTCGGTTTAATATTTGTTTAATAAATGCTTCGGTGTCCATAATTAAAAGCTGCTGCTCGTGGATTAGTCCAAAAAAATTTTTTCCGCTCGATCCGTCCCGCGCTAGCCGTTTTCAACCGCCTGAAAAACCGTTGTGCACCGTGGCTATGCGCAAACTAGCCCATAACATTGTTTCCACCAGCCCACCTCGCCCGCCACCGCTGCCCCGAACCGCCGTCGCCAACCGAGAGTCGCGGCATACTTCATACATTCTCATACATTTGTTTAATTAGCCAACCGCCGCCGCCACCCGCAAGCGCGCCTTGTCCATCTCCGTGGCCAAACACTTAGCGTCGTCCACCTTTACATTGTTTTTTGGATATTTTTTTTGTTTTTATTTTTTATGATACATCATACATAAATACATACAACCCTAAATTTTCAGTCTTCTACCACCAACCCCTATTTTTTTATGGCGGTACGAAGTTCGCTGGGACAGTTAGTATTAGTATAGATTTAGTCGCGTGCCTACAGCGCTTTTAACCCAAATTGAAGTAGCACTCCTATGTCATCATTATCACCAGCTATTTTGAATATTCCGGTCGACGACTCCTCGTGCCTTTCGAAGCACAAAAAAATATTTTTTTTTCGGCAACCCATCATATTATGAGTTGTTGTTGTGAAAGTTGTTTACTCCTACGATCGCAGACCGAACGCACTGACCACTCTGCCATTGAGTTTGCCATATATATTATGTAAAAATGGCGAGGGATAATTTCAGTTGGGTATATATCATTGTTTGTGTATACATACACAGGGAACTAAAATCTTTGTTAATTTCAATGAATATATGCCATTTTCACCAATGCAGTTATACTTATAGTAAGTCAGGCCGTATACATATGCTTGTTTGGCACCCTTTTAACATAAAAACTGTTAGTTTCCTAAAATAACAATTTAACATTTTCATCAATTGTTCACAGCTAAACCCCTGTCCCGCGGAAGTGGTGAGAGAGCTGCTAGCGCACGGTGCACATATAGACACCGTCAACTACGAGGGGGAGACGCCAGAAGATATCCTCAAATCCACCCAACAGAGCCTCACCGCCATCGTAAACCCCCTTAAATACACCACGCTAAAGTGTTTAGCCGCGCGCACAGTCAAAAACTACCGGCTCCCATTTAGACATGTGGTTCCACAATGTCTACATTCGACCATAATCACACATTGAACTCTGAAACCAGGGCGAGATTATAGGTGAGTCGCAGCGCAGTCCTTAGAATCTACCGATCAGTCGCACGAACGGTCGCGCGACTGGTAATAGAAGTCAGTCCATCATTCAGCAGAGTGAGTGAATCGATTGCATTTTCAATGTTCCGACTTTGACAGACGTCAGTTTGACAGCCGTTTTGAGACTTGTAGTTTCGTTTTTTTTATTTTTTATTTTGTAGCTAATGGAGTATATAGTTTTAGAACGTTGATTGTGTTTGAGGCTAGTTTCTTATTTCGGTTAACGTATACCAGTTATGACAGGCGGGTTTTTAAGTATGTGCAGTTTATCAACGAAACGATTAACGAATTTCAATAGAACAGCACTCGCTTCTCTGGGTAATAAAATTACCAGTTAAAATGCTTGTGTGTTAATTATTAAATTTTTATTCAATAAAATTACATAAATCGTCCGTAGTTTCATCACATGAGTATTATTTTTGACAACATTGATATATTTTTATTATTATATAATTTGTGATATTACATTGTTTATTTGGAACGTGTTTTTTTGCTTTTCGATACATGTTATATACACATTAATACTGCCAGGAATTGATGATTGTTGAACCACTTTATTTATTTATCTTTTGTAATTATATTTTTATGATTTTTAGAGATTAGCTTTAAGCACTGTTTTATTTCTAATGAAAATTATACGTATATCCCTTATTAAATTTGATACCTTTGCGCTTTCCACAGTATTCGAATATTTGCCTCTTTCCCTTCGGGATAAAAAAGCTATATAAACAAAATAAAATTTCATAAAATGAATTTATAATTTTGTAATCAATCCTTTTTCCAACTCATAAAGATTAAATGAGATCTACATAGTACAGGCCGAGCCATGACTAAAATGTACCTTTACTGACTTTGAATGCACAAAGAGCGCACTTCAGATCTTTGTTGCGTATGATTGAAATTGGTTGCATTCACAGAACTATAGCTTTGTATTGTTGGACCTCTGTATGAAATATAATAATCTCATTCTATGGTTACAAACCACATTATTTACCGCCATTTCATAACATTTTATTAAAAAGCTCATGAACATTGCCTAGGCCTGTATTTAATACATAAATAGACGTAGCACTGATGAATTGAGTCCATTTAAAATATGACAGTACACAAAGTGATATTTGCTAACTTAAAATATTTGTACAGAAATAGTATGTAATACAAATTATAAACGAATTAATATTTTTATTGACAGCCAGTATATAGTTTAATGTGATTAGATTATAGATCACGGCTAAATTATTTATGTGAATGCTACTCTTGTTAATCTGAAATATACTTTATTATCATTTATGAATACTGCTCAAATTCTTTGAAATGCCAGGGGATTGGTATTTCTTAATCATTTTCATTGTTGAATACTTAATTTTTCTGTTTTTTTTGTAATTGTCTAAGTTACTGCGCTCTAGTAATTTAACTAATTGTGCCATCGCACAAGTATTATTTGTTTTGTAATGAACCTGCTTGTCCTTCATTGAAAAAAGCACCGAAAATGTTTAACAGAAATAAGTACTAATCTATAAGACGGCAAGAATTTATACTAGGACAGGTTTTTAAAAAAGTTGGAAATGCTTCAGTGGTTTTTTTGTCGAGTACAATTTCATTGTTACATTTAATTTAGAACAAATTGGGACTTTATGGCATTGAAATATGCAGTAGATAATTAGATTCAGTAGTGAAATTATCTACGTATAGCACATAAACAACATATTTTCTCTTTAATTAATCACTGTATTTAGCTACTGTAATGTTGTCTCAGTTTATTGAACGACGTCAAAAAAGTCACGACTTGTCTATGATAAGACTATGTTAATGTTAATTTGGATAGTCACTAACCAAAACTGACTCTGTAAACAATGAACTAACACAATAACGTAATTGCCAGGAAGCTATGCCATGTGTTTAAGATCGGTCCTAAGACCAAGTGATATTTGCTTTTAGTTACTGGAGATCATATCAGTCTCTTGTTAGGTTATTAAACACACGATGACAACTAAGGGCTAGGATCACCGTTCTTCTCGTGTGTCCAAACACCTCTAGTCCCCTTGTATCTTTATACATTCTGGGTAAACTTGTTATAATTTCATTATAGTCTTTTGTGGTTAAACGAAAATGAACTTTACGTGTGTCACAGTGTGATCAAAATACGTTTGAACACAATTATATCGATGTAAAAACAAATTAGCAAGTAAGTAGATTTATTAGAGGTTAAAAAAATATATGAATAAATTGGTATTGTATATTAGCTAGATGGATAATAATATGACAAACTATTAGAACTGATTTGGAAATAAATATTACATTTTATGATATGATTTCGCGAGCGGTACGCTGTTTATAATATTGTGTGTATTTTGTCATAGTATATTTTCAACTACTTAGTAATACTGTGTGATTACATGATACTAGTTATTTTTTTGAAATTAAATAAAAGGCTTTAAAATATTTTCTTTTGTTTTAATGACTGTGTCCAATTGGACACTCAGCGAGTTCATATTTACCAATCCCAAACCCACTGCTCAATCTTTTTCACAGGGAAACTTTGTTATAGCTATTCATCATGCTTTTTATTGCTGGGGCACGGGCGTGGAGGCTTTCCTTATGTACGGAATAAAGATATTATGCCATGATTCAACACACCATAGGCTCAGTATGGATTGGTTGGTGCTAAAGTCTGCAATACTAGAGGAACCAACAGCTTAACGTGACCAGGGCCCAATCCAAGGGGGGGGGGCGAGCCGGGCATTTGCCCAGAGCGGCAAAAATTAGGGCGGCAAATTTGACTTAGGGTTGGCCGCCTTTTAATGATGTACTTTACGTACGTCACTAAAAGGCGGCAAAAATCTTTGCCCGGAGCGGCAAAATTTCTAGATCGGGCCCTGAACGTGACTTACAAAGTATGTGGCGAAATGATAATATTTGGTCAATCATCCTGTAAAGAAAATGAAAGAAAGAAAGAGCCAAATTATGTAACTAACCATTGCAAAAGTTGCTAATTTGCAGGATCGCATCCAGATCGTCAATTTCAGTAAATGATTTATTTTATTTTTCTCTTTTAACTCAGCGGAGTGCTTATGGAATCTCCTACACAGATCCTGGGTTCAACTGTAAGTAGGGGCAAATGTTTATATCTTGAATAATAACATTTGAACCTGGGTAACAGCTGTTTTCTATATCTACTTCTACAAAAATAAACTTAACTATGTATTCTTATTCAACACCATAGTTTATACCTACAACTCAACCAAGCTAAGTTTGCACCTCGCGTCGATAATGTCATACTGACGCTTAGGTAGGGACTGCAAAAAAAGGGATTCGTTATGATTTTAAAAAAGTAAACAAATGTTTGTTAAAGGACACCCGGCATTTTGTGCCAAAGTTGTATACTATTTAATTTTTTTATCTGTGTTTCATAATTGGGTAACGTAGTCTGGCAATATTTGTCATCAGCAGGTAGCTGTCAATGTCAAATACGTAGGTTTGTCAATATAACCTCTATATGTAGCCGGGTCGTCAAGAGAAATAACGGATAAAAAGGCAATCACAGCAGAGAACATTCACAATCACAGTTTGCGGGAGCGGATGCAAAATGCGAATGATTTTTTTTTGTTTGTATTTTAGGATTTTCAAATTGACATTTGGTTTTTTATTTAGAAAAAGCAAAGGAATAATGGTTTTTACAGTCACTTGAGTAAAATTTTGAAGTGAAATTCTGTCCCTTGAAGATTTAGGGTTTCCATATCAAAAAATATTAATCATTATATAACTTCTTTCCACGTTTCACTAAAAATAAGGCAAAAGTAGTTTTATGTAGCAAATAATTTTGGCTTTATTTTGAGACCAAATTCAATTGTATACAAGTTTAGCATTTTTTCTATGAAAAGTGCCGGGTCTCCTTTACATTTATTGTTTTTCACGGGAAGGTGAGCGGGGAAGCGGGCGGGCGCCGCATTCCAGCGAGGTGCAAACTTAGCTTGGTGAAGTTGTACCATACCCCCATTATTAATAAACAAGGAATAAGCTTAGACTAGTTACGCCGTGTTTTGTTCATGTTACTCAAATGCCTTTTTCATTCAATAGGCAGAGACAAAATATGGACTAACTAATCCAAGCGTATTCTTCGTTTATTAATAAGAGGGTAGGTACATCATGGTTTACACCTTACACCACTCTTTTTGGAACATCGGCCTTTTTTTTATAGCTTGCGAGTGCGAAATGTCATTGTCAAATGTATACTGATTTTTAGTTCTCGTTACGTATTTTGTGGCGCTGGTGTTCAAGTTTCCATACAATTAACATTTAGCACTCGGGGTACAGAAGCCGTTGGTACAGCTCCATCAAGTGGCATTTTTTAAATAGTTTTTTTAAACATGTTGTTTTTTCAATACCACGTAATTTTTCACTTCTAAGCTGTAAAATATGCGGAATATGTCGATTGGTGAGGTTTCGGATATGATTTATTTATTTCAAATTTTAATAGAAAAGGAAGAGTTAGAATAGTAGATCTTCCCTCAGGCTTTCATCTATTTCTTTTTTGATAATGTACATCTAACGCCATCTATCAGCATTATGTTCTATGGTCTTGATAATTTTACATTCTTGCGGGGAGTGTAGATGTCGCTACCTCAAGACAGTAGTCACAGCGGAATAGCGAAAATTCTTCGGTGAAGGGCCCGTGGTCCGTTTGTCCTAGTGGTAGGACCACGGTATACCACGGCGTCACATCTAAGGCAAACTTACGAATCTGCTTTTTTAGTAAAAATCTATAATAAAAAAGTGCATATAATGGGGTAATTAACACCAGGGAAAAGTCACTCAATTTTATCATTGACGATTCCAAAAGTCTGATTGTTTGAATCTGCATTTTATGTTTATACACCCAAAGTGAACTTACCAAATTAATATACGATATTTTGGCGTAGTAGGTTTTATAAAATTTAAATTCGTAAGTTTACTATGGAAGTGACGACGGGTGCATAGACCCTTGGTCCTACCGCACCAAGGCGACCAATAAAATGATTTATTATGGATTCACAAAGAACCAGGTATATACTTGTTTTATTATTTATGGTAAACAATGCGCCGCAATTTTTAAATAGATATCATATTCGTATTCTGCTATTTAAAGTTTCAGTAATAATAACTGATTACCTAACAAAATAATACTTTAATTTAGATAAAGTATTATGTGAATTCAATTTTTTTCTATTAATTCACACCTAACTATAATTGATTATTCAGTATGCCGAAAATATATAGGCAATGAAAAAGATGTGCAATCAGCTCAACGAATTTATTGACACTTGTTTTGTATGTAATGAACAATAATATGAAATTTTTCTATAATGACGTTTAAATAGTTCTTACATCATCCAGCCCGAGCCAAAATAGGGAACTTAAGTAACTACGAATAACAACAAAAGAAAAATTAACAGCTACATACAAAGAAGGCGTTTAGGTGCCCTAACAGAACTTCCAGCTCGGGTTATATAATATGGTGGCTTATTGACTTCCAGTGGAAACAGCCTTTGGACAGGTCTTTTTTTAACAAGGTATTTTTTACCTTTACAATAGCAGCTCTGAGAATTTTATCTAGTCCTCGAATCATGTTGGTAACTAACCCTAAAGGCCAAAATTGACGTTTGTCATCAGTCTCAACAGGTCTCAACCAATACAATGTCCCCCTCACTAAAGGTTAAGTTTCCTTAACTTACATCTTAAATTTAGTAAATAAATAACTAAGACGAGAGTGTAAGCTTTTACTGTCAGTAGCATTAAGATCATCAACTGAATAAGATGTAAAATCATGTAAGAAATGTTTTGGAGTAAGCGGCGTAAGACAGTCGCTATCCGAAATATATGTCAGAGGTCGACTATTCAACATAGCTTCACAATCATTCATCAGTCTCTAGCTCAAAATAAGGTAAGTTATACAAATAAGGCCTACCTAATTTCAATCACTCATATCATGATCAATTATTCGAAGAAGATGATAAATAAAAACAAGCATTATTCTTTGGTTCATAAATTTTAAGTAATTAGGAAAACATATCTATCGTAATATAGTAATAAGGAAATCACTTAAAAATCGGTAATTCGAAATCTATTAAAATCATAGTGACTGAACAAAGCCTATGTACTGAAATTATACGAATATTGTTATTAGAGTATAAATTATATAAAATTATTTATTTCTGAGCCTTCAATCAAGTGTTTCCATGGAATCCTTGAACAACATTCTAAGTTATTTTACTAATTATTTTCCTTAAATTGTTGAAGTCGCATATTAACAAGAAATAAAGATTTACTTATATAAAAGAAACATGTCCATACAAACAAAAATTCGCAAATTAACATATCTTCTCGAAAATATTACTAAATATTGGAAAATGAATATATTTTGATATAGGTATATATATATTTGATAAAGTAAGCTTTATTTAGTACATTATACTTCATACAAGTTATAAGCAGTATTTAATTCGCATGTTCTAAAAATGTCAATTTTAAGTCATAGTTAACTTTTTGATTAGTATACATTAAATGAAACAAAACTTCAAAGAATAACGGATTAAAATTCGATAAAAATTACGACAAATTAATAACGCGCTATGAAAACGCTCGTCTTTCACAAAGTACCGCCACTACTGACGCTAAGAGCTCGAGCGGACCGCTCGTGCACAGTTTGCCGAGTTGCAGAACTGTCGTCTATGCGTGTGTAAAGTATTTTTGATGTAAATACATTTTAAAAGACTTTTCTGCATTTTAGGCCTTATTTCAGCATATTTCTAGAAGGTACCTTACGTTAACGCCGCTCTTCCTAAGACTCGACGGAGTAAATCCTTTGAACACCTGATGAAACAACCGCTCCCAAACTCTCCCCACCAAGGAGCGCAGGGAACGTTAAACTACCATTCGATTCACTCAAGACAAAGCTGTGTTTAAATATTTCCAATCTCAACATTTAAACAAATTGTGAGCAATTACGAAATTTGTATCATTGTTGGAATATATATACAACTTTTACCCTACCTGTTCTAGCAACAATCGCCTAAAAGCCATTAAAAACTTTCAGTAGACAAACTAAGTGTTAAATCCAAATGAACGACCCTAAAAACCACACAGGTGAAAATAACAACCCAACAGGTCTACTCCTACCACCTCAAAAGCTTTACCTGTTTTGATTCTGTTCTCAAGAAGTGGAGCAGTCGCAGCTTGTGTTGGTTTACATGTTAACCTCTTACAAACGCCACAAGTAGAAATAACTTTCTTTACGTTTGCACGAGCTCTCGTCAGCCAATATAGCTCCCTTAGCCTTATCACTATCGATCATCGACAATGTATGTCTCAACACGCTGGTGTGACTGGTCATAAAACCTACTACAGCGTGTTGAGACATACATTGTTTAATTAATAGATAATTCTATGAACAATAATATGTATGA